TTGTGCACATTTAATAAAGGTACTTGACCAAAAATAAAAATGCTCATGAGTTTTATGTACCTAGAATTAATGAAAGCATACATTTTATTCTTGATTTTTTAACCATATAAATTAACATTAAATACTTAAATATAAAAGACAATAATAAAAGTAGTCTCTTATACCAACATAAATGTCAAAAATGGCCCATCTTTGGCCCATCTTGAAATTCAGTGACTGCTCAGCTAAATACATGAAAACGTCTCAGGTTACATATGTAACCATGGTTCCCTGAGAAGGGAACGAGACACTGCGTCCTCTAGAGGTCGTTATGGGGGAACTCCTTCAGCGTGACCAGTGTCTGAAGCATACATTTAAACACGACAATAACATTGGCCGGCGACAGCCTGTGACGTCATCACCCGGCGCAACCACAGTATAAAAGGGCGCCGGGGGAACACGTCATCCGCTTCTTCATCTGAAGCTTGCGTCCGAAGCATGGCAAGGGAACTAGAGGACGCAGTGTCTCATTCCCTTCTCGGAACCATGGTTACATACGTAACCTGAGACGTTCCCTTCCGAGGGAACTTTGAACTGCGTCCTCTAGAGGTCGCTATGGGGAACGGTATACCCACGCCGCCATGCTGAGGGGAATGCATGCCAGAAACCACAGCGAGCACTAAGTACCAACTCTACCATAGCCATGGGAGTTGCCTCAAGGACGTCTTGACGGCTGTCAGTGACATTATCCCCTTTGGCCAAGGGCCTGAGCTGCATACCTGTTAAGGGCTGGACTAGGAAGCCCAAGCCTAGGGCAGAGCTCAAGGCTTGGAATCAGAAGAAAGAGATTCCTTTAAGGGGATACGGCCAGGTGTCTAAAAACCAAACCAGACCCTGGCCTGCCACCCAGGGGGGCTACCGCCGGTTCCGAATAAACCTGCTCAAAGAACTGACAGATTTTTGGTAGCAACACCCTGTTTAGAAAAGTATCAACAGAGATACATAAGTTGAGTGGGGCCCAAGGCAAGAACTGGGACCTAAACCAACTCAGATAAAGGGAACGAGGCTGACAGCACGTAACCCTTACCATTCAGGATTTTTGAAAGTGCGCAGAATGCTTAGCATGCACACTTACCACAATGTGGATTTTAGAAAGTGCACAGAGCTCAGCGTGTGCACTTACCATAGCATGGATTTAGAAACACCATTGCTTAAGGGGTAACCGAAGCTGTATAAACCAGCCTAGGAGCCCTACGTAACTGTGGCACTCTCACAGAACAGAATCCGAAGCATCTGTTCACAGATGCCCAGAAGGGAGCGGCGCACTTGCAAGAGGCCCTTCACAGTGAGGGGAGCACAGCTAGCTCACTTAACAAGCAACCCGCCAGGGAGGCAGGAGATGGCCCAGCCGCCTGGCATGATTCAAAAAAACTTCAAAGAAAGAAGGGGGACTCGGATGCTCAGATCGAGAGGGGCGTGCTCATATGAACCCCCCAAGGGCAGTGCTAAGCTTGACCCACAAGGAGAGCGGCTCAACAGGAAGGCGGAGAGAGGCCTACCACCTGAGGCTGCTACTCAATGGAGCTCAAACGAGCGGCGGACTCAATGAGAGAAGTCCACAGACGCTCAATTGGGAGCGGCAGGCTCAAAGACAACCCTCCAAGGTGAGGGGAGCACTGCCTGGCTTGACCCAAATAGAGGCAGCTTATCAGGGAAGCAGCAAGCGGCCCAACTACCTGATGTCACTGCCACGGAGCTCAAGAGCGGAGGGTTCAACCCCTAGTGAGGAGAGAGAGGAACCCATCTCGACCGAAGCGATCAATAGCCCTCTCAAGTCGAGAGGAGGACTCACCCAGTCTGCCCAGAACTGGCGAGCTCAAAGGGACCCTCCCACAGTGAGGGGAGCACAGCCATGTCAGAGTAGCAGATAGTTTGCAAATGGGACATCAGAAATGGGATCCTGCTAGAAGGGGATCACACGTTTCTACAGGGAACAACAGGGTCCCAAAATAAAGGCAACCGACCAAGGAGGTGACAGAGACGAGCCTAACACTCAGTTCGTTGCAAATGTGGGCTCTCAAGCTGAGGCGGGCCCTGACAGCACATACTGGGAGCGACTCATAGCTAACCCTCACATTGAGGGGAGCACTTCTCAGCTCGACCAGAAGAAGGTGCTAGATTAGAAGGGGTAACCCAGCAGGGCCCAATAAGAGACTGTTCACTGGTGCAACTGGACACAGTCTCATGCTCTCTATCTCGATACAGAGCGTGGGTCCCATATAATCAGACCCGATAAAATCTGAAGAAATAGCAGGACCCTATAACCATTCATGCGTACAGAGCTCACTGCTCCTCAGAGCAGAAGCATACAAGAGGGGTTTCCGCAGAAACACAAATTCTTCGTCACTTTCTTGGCCCGCTTTCATGGCAAGTCAAGCCTCGCCGTGGCGCGATCCATAACCTCAAGCAGCTCATCATACGCGGGGCAGGAGGATTGGGAGGACTCAGTCTCGACTTCTTC